TAGGGTGTCAAGGGATCTCTGCTGTGCATAACATCAGGGAACACACGCCTTCAAATAGTGGGGGACCGAAAGAAACGCATGGGGGAGGAGGGCACACAGACGGGGCCGGGCACAAGAGCAGAGAGGAACCGGCGTCGGCGGGGGGGGGGGGGGTCACTTGGGGGGCGGGCGGGGACATATACCCATGTATCTGCTAGGTTTATTACACGGAGTTTCCCCTCAGCGTTGTTGGTTGAAGCAGGTGGCTCTTTGGATTCAATATTGTTTGCAAGGGAGTCGCGACGGTTCACGCAACCTGATAACCTGTGCGTCATTGCTGACTACACAGCAGTACACCCACCCGTACACCCGACATCATGGTTATACCAGCCGCAGACCTCCTCAGTGCGGTCTGCGGGTTGCCCGTATCTCCGAAATCTCCGAAATCACGGTAATCAGTAGTTTCACCGCATTCCTCGCTGCCCCTGCGAACTGCGAACACAGCAACTCCCCTTCCACTGGGAGCAAGTTAGGCACGGCAGTGAGGAGAGCGACTACTAGCGAGTCGTAGTAGTGAGAGGCCCCATCTTTTACGGTGAGTCTGAAGTGCGGGGCGAGGAAGTTATCACTACGCGGGCAGTGGGTGGGGCAGTCGAATGGCGAAAAGGAAGGTCTTCAACCATCATGTTTGCCCCGAGAAACCGTGGTACCGCGCAACCGACACCGCGGCGGAGCAGTTGTAGACTGCTGTACAGGACACACAAATACTCCCGGCTCTCACGCGCGTAGGTACGTAAAACTGCTCTGGCGTTGCCAACAGCAACCACACTCCTCCTGTGTTAGATCTACAGCGTATCTAGCTACACTCAGCTGGGTACATGCGTGCAGCCAATGGTAGATGTTCTTGCCGCCGTACTGAAGTAGGGAGAGGGAGAGAGAAGGTCTGCGGCATGCTGCTGCCTGACAACGACATAGTCACTCTCTTCCACGGACAGCCGTCACAACACCAATTCGGTGGTCCGGCGCTTCCTTGCCGGTCCTCCTGCCCACAACGACCGGCTAGGATCGATCCAGAGGAAAATTCTGGAATGTTTTTCGGAAGAAAGCTGCGCCGCCGAAGAACGCTCCGCACGCCCCTTGTCAACAATGTCGAGGAATTTCGATCTTCAAACGTCCCATTTTCGAACGCTGCGGTCAATATATGAACACCAAAGAGAGTGTGGTATGTTGCTATGTTGCACCCCGGTATTGCTATGTTGCACCCCGGCAATCGCCAAAGCACTTGAGTTCATGTGTTCTTCAGTTCCGAGAGTCTAAGGCATCAAGTACAAGTTTGTGAAATGTACATTCCACCGATATGTACATGCTCTCTTACCAAACTTGGCTCCCGTGGTTGCGGCGACTGTCCGCTTCTCTCGTTCTTCCACACCACTCCAAATCCTGAAGCGCTTTCTCGCAGGCAATCGGCGTTCTTCCTGAGGAGGGCCTATGGGCCCTCTTGCAGCTCCAGACTCCTCCACGCATACATCTTCCACGCGTACCACATGTCTCCTCCGCAGGAGCACCCCATCATTTTTGAGTAGGGGTGATCTTGGGCATGACCAGCTCCCCACCCTGCTTTCATTCAGGTTCCCCCAACGGACATGTTCCCACTCCCCAAAGAGTACCAAGCCTCTTTCTCTGACGGACACGAGGGTACTACTGCCTGCACGGCTTGCCACCTTGTGAGCCTCTGTTCCCCAGTGGTCGATTTACGGCAGGAGTACCACGCTCCATCATCCCGCTACGTATTACTCCACGCTGGGTACGAAACAGTATTGTGTTCGTGCCGGTTATAAAGGCGGTTGAAGTTCTTCCCGAGGGGGGGACTATGGGCCCTCTTGAAGCTCCGGACTCCTTCTCCACGCATACATGTCCACGCGTACCACTGCCTCCGCCCCGCAAGAGCCAATCATTTGAGAAGGGGTGAAATCGGGAAAGTTCCCCACCCCACTTTCGCTCAGGTTCCCCCAACGGACATATCCCCACTCCCCGACGACTATTTTTCTCTGATTCCCACGCGCCAACGAGTACCGAGCCTCTTTATCTGATGGGCAAAAGGGTACTTCTGCCTGCACAGCGGTCACGTTGAGAGCCTCTGCCCCTCGGTGACCGATTTGCGCCAGCAGTTGCCACATTCCACCGTCCCACTACCGTAACGCTCACCACTCGGTACGACTCAGTTCTGTCAACGTGCCTGCTACTTTCAGAAACACCGGTAACAGCCGCAGCGCCAGCAGCAGCGGGGCAATTGGCTTTCAGCCTCTCCCCCCCGGTGGTCCATTTGCGCCAGCAGTTGCCACATTCCACCATCCCACTGTCGAACTGCTCCACGCCCGGTACGAGACAGTAAATGTTATGGTTTCTTTCTCGCGCCACCTCCACAAACACGGGCAACAGGCGAAGCAGCAACAGCAGCAGCAGCAGGGCAATGGCTTCCCTAAACGCCAACAGGGGAGCGGCGTCGGCTTCGACGGTCTACGACCCGTACAAGATCTTCCAAGCCGCGCAGCGCTGCATGGGAGACCCTTCGGTCGTGGCCAAAGTTCTGGTCGAGCTCCTCGGTAAGAAGGGGTAGGCACGCACGCAGCAGCGGCAGCAGCAGTCAGAAAAGCTGCCTAGAGAAGCACGAGGCAAGCCCTACTGAGTGCCCCTTCCTCCTACAACTCTTGGAGCTGGGCCAGGCCACGCCCGAAGCCATGAGATAACGATGGGATGGTTTACAGGGTTGCTTTGAGCACATTTCCTCCTGGTGTTAGCGGGACGTACAGCTCGTTTCGTGTTTCCTCAATCGTGTTTACCGTGCGTTGACCCAGCTACACCGGAGTTGTATGGTTGAGAATATCGGTGAGGTTTTGTCCGGTTCTTTTTCACACGCGAAAGGAGATCCGAGTTGTTGAACTCTCCGGGAACTCGTGACAACAATAGGTAGCCATATTTGGTCCCGAAGAAGCAGGAATGTGTCGTATATGCCGGCCCTGAGAGCAGCGTGTGGCTTTTTTGGTACGTCCGCATCATGTCTTGAAGCAGTTTCACAACTGAGCAGCTAGACGGTGTAGATGTAAGTGGCCGATGATCGGTCGGTCCGAACGAGCACAGAGTGGTCGTTTGATGTTTCGGTAAATCACGTACCACACACAGACTGGCGCGTTTGTGAATCCACCCAGTCTCGGCACAGACACAAAACACACACACACATGACGGCCTTGTGGATGTTTGTATTTTCGTAACCGCATTGGGACTGGCGTCTTTTCGGCGGGCAACCGGTTAGCGCGGTTGATGCTAACGTTAGAAACACAGGCACACCTTTGGAAAGCGTGTACGTTCGCGTTTTTTTTTTGGCTGCAAGACTGAGGTGCTTCACGGGCACTCGGCAAGAGCGGTCCATTCTACGGCAACAACAGTAAAGTTTAGCACGTGCATGTGTTGTGCAAATTTTTGTCGGAATCTCGCTACCCAGGCGACTGCGCGACTCCGGACGTGCTCATGGCGTCCGCGGCGAGCGTTCTCGAGATCTACTACGGGGGCGGCGGGCTGCGGAAGACGAGCATGACGGACTTCGGCAAGTTTGCGGGGGAACTGGCCGATGAGCTAGGCGCGCGCAACAGTACCCAGGCGAGTGGCTATGCGGTAGTTTGCTAGTTTGCTATTGGCAACACTGGCAGTGTCGGGATGGATGGATGGATGACTGCGTACCTTCGGCATGACAGGTGGCGTTGCGGAAGGACCAGCCGTAAAAGGTAGGAAAACCTCAACCAGTTTCCCAAGTGGGGAGCTGCAGGGTTGCCAGCGGTGCTGCAGCCAACCTTTTCGCTTCACGGAGAGCTGCCAACCGCGGGAGTGTGCGTCCCCAGGCGGTGGTGCAGCACTCGATCAGCCTGTTCACGTACCATTGCATGATGGAGCGACGTCCTTCGGTTACTCCCCCAGTCTCCACTCACGAAAACGACAGCGAGATCGGTCATGGGTACGTTGTAGATGGAATACAAATGTCGAGAAACCTCAGGGGTTCGTAAGTGTTTGTTGCCCATGATTTCTTCGAAACCCACCAAGTCTGCAGCTAGCTCCACCGAGACAAGTATGGCCGACGTTGTGCACAATCCGCAGCTCGCCTTAGCTGACGACTCGCAAGCTCGGGTATATGTACGTCCTGACGAACGATCAACCCACTTGCAGCCTTTCCTTTATGGGTCAAATTCAACGGTGGAAAAGGCAAACAAGTGCATATGGAAGCTTTCTTGGGGTATGCCCGAGAGATCTGTAGGGAGGCACCGGCGTCGGCTATCTTTTAAAACTTTACCCCGGACAGTAGGTTTGATATCGGTATGATATTGATGGGATCCTTTAGGATGCGTGTTATTGCGTACACTTGTACCAATAGATATCTTTGGACGCTGTGGCCGGAAAGAGGTGTTGAGTTGCTTGTCCCGCCGGATATCGTTTGGCCAGGCGTGCACAGACATGTTTTTCAATACAATCTACCTATCGATATAAATGTACAGACGGTATTGTACCGGCGAGGGATATTGCAACGAATTTGTAAAAAGGCGTCACCGTACACAAACCTGGTAGGTATCTATGGGGATTTCCACAACATCTTGCTCAGGCAATACCTGCCGAAACAACTCTTTGGCAAGGTGTGTTGAATCTGTTCATCAGTAGGTATCGATGCTTTCATGATCCACACCGGAATCGCTTTCAGCATAGCGGACATGCATGACCGGGTCCGGCGATGTCTCTCGAAGCCGTGTGCTGACAACCTTTAAGGTCGACGGTGTCCTGACAACCACAAAGCGGCGAGCACCTTTCGTTTTCTTTAGCTGTTGTAACGCGTGGTTTCGTGTGGTTTGAGAGCTGAGCACCAGAGTACCTCGAATGCCGCTCTTGCGTACAGCATCATCCCCTCCCCATCCCCACTGCCTCAGGAACCGACCCTCACGTATTTTTGCCGCCACACCCCGCCCGCCGACGTTCGGTTCATTCGACCGACGCGTCGTGCACTTCTACAATGAACACGCGGGTTTCTGCTAATGCAGGCGGAGGAGAAGATGAAGGAGGCCCAGAGCGTATACGAGCTGTTCGAGGAGGCCGACACCGATAACTCGGGCACCATCTCCAAGCAGGAGTTCTGCGTGTTCGGGAGCAACATCGACGTCTCGTCCGACGAGGAAGCGTTGGAGCTGTTCGCCAGGGTAGACACGGACAAAAACGGTGCGACCGACCGTCCGACCTACCTACCTACCTACGCCTTCGTTTTTGTCTGTGTGCGTTTTTCTTGTTTGTTGTGACGACGACGCCTTGCCTTGCTTGTAGGGCCCTGCGCGCGAAAAACAAAATGTTGAGTTCGTTGTTGCGTGCCTCGTTCTTGCATGAAAAACATATTTGCTAGATGCAAGAATCTCTTCTTGTCGGTGGATCTGCTTGTTGCCTTTCCGTTTGCGAAAAGAAGGACGCTTGCGTAGTAGTCATGCGTCCTTGGTGTCGGGAAATAGTTCGTTTTGTTTGAGCCTGGAACGTGCGTTTGCGTGAACAGAGAAGTGCGCGTACAAAAGGTGCCGTGCTTCTGTCGACTGCGCTTCTCTGAACAGCACCTCTCGAGAAACATTCACCTCCCTTGCGCTTTTCGCCGCGTGCGCCCAACTCACAGAAGCCGTTTCCTTTTTCTTTTTTGTCACAATGTTACCAATACAACGGATTCACTTCTCTCCGCGGATGAGAGTCCGGGATAGAACTAGGAGTGCATCAACCCGTAACGTTACCGGGCAACAACGCACTCTTCTCTTTTTGTTCATGTCAGGCGTGATCTCGTTCCTTGAGTGGCTCCAGTTCTGCGTCCCGGGGCCCGGCCGCGACCCGAATAGCTTCAACTGCGCGGGGCAACACGGCCTTCAATCCTGCGCGGCCCCCGCCGACGACACTACCTGCAACTGGTGCGGCAGCAAGTGGCCGGCGGGGAGCCGGATGTTCTCCTGCCGGGAGTGCGATTGCGACGCGTGTCTGGAGTGCGCAATCCTGCACCTGCAGAGCTGCGACACCCGCATCTTCTGCGAGAGAGCGGTGGTGGACCCGTCCAAGACCTCGGCAAGGTCTTGCGCGGTGTGCGAGAGGGAGGCGTCGCCGGCGTCGGACGGGGAAGACGAGGAAGACGAGGAAGCAGCGTAACGATATTTTATTGCCTTGGGTGGTTGTCGTTTTGCCCAGTTGTAGTAATAGTCACACCACGAGGACAGATAGACCTTGTTCCCGGAGAGCTGTTGACGTGCTATCGATGAATCACAATTGTTTTGGCTAGTATCACATGTTGCGGAATGCCGTTGCTCTATATTGTTTGCGTTTACGGCTGGATTCGAGCGCGACATGCGCCAGAGAATTCGCGCCGCCGGTGCCTAGAGGAACGGGAGGTGGGGGACGAGGATCCAGCAATGAAAAGTTAAAGTTCAGAAGCGGACCGTAATGGCCCGACTTGTAAGATTTGTTGCGTTGACAAGCTTTGATTGACTGCATCTCGCGCCAGGAAAACTTTCGTCATCAGGGGCACGCGTGTGGGCGAGTAGTGTGCCTGGCCTTCCTTGACGCCATGTCTAGCATGCCGTGCTGTTCTGAAAAAGCGGGTCCGTCTCTCCCTCGCCCGAGCAAGTTCGAGAGAGAGAAAGCGAGAGAGAGAGAGAGAGAGAGATCTGTCATGTCAGCTTGGAAGGCATCGAGGACAGTGTTGTATTGCTGGGGCTTTGCGTGAACCCGCCGCCACCTGCTCAAGATGAAGAATCAGCGCGGTGCGAGGCCAACGATATGACCTGATCGTACGATGCCTTTGCTTCACCGTTAGAGGCTTGGGGGGTTAGTTAGTATATTTATTGTGTGCGAGGAGGGGTTATTGGTTTGGAGAGAGGCAATCAGTGTCTCCTGAGAGGGTGAATCGTAAGAATGGGACAGTAGGTTGCAAGGGTAAAGAATCGCGCTTACAGCAAGCGGAAGGTGCCGTTGTCCCCGCCGGTGCAATCTATCCGTTGAAACGGCCCAGCGTTTATCGTGGAGGCTGTCATGCTTGCGGTGTGTGTGTGGTTGCCGGTGTCCTTGTTCATGTTCTACGTGTTGTGGACATTCCCTATCCTGCCTTCTAGAGCTACCAATGATTGTGTGGAGGACGACCCCGTGGAAACAAGGTTCTTGGGGCCAGGAACAAGCAGGTGCCTCCCCGATGGCCACGTAGGCCACCATCGACACGTTCCGCTCCGCGAGGCCTCTTCGGAGGAGAACATAGGCAGGGTAGGACGTCGGAAGGGCCACGGCTCTCCCACGCGTCCGTTGCTACAAAACACTGGGTCAGGTCAAGGCCTTGCCTGGTTGGTGTTTTTCGGTCCTTGCGTCTCCGATTTGTATTTCACCGTCGGCAGACGCACTTGCCACAGGAGAAAAAGAGAGGAAATTGCTGGCGAGGGGGGGGGGGGGGGGGAGGAAAATGGTGTTCAATCCAGCCTGGTGTTGGGGCCCCGGGTTCTGTACAAATACCTGGTTATCCCGGGAAAAGCCCCATTTTTCATAACCCGAAAAAATGGTTGGCGTTTGCCTATATCCCGGGACTCCCTTTTTGTTTTAACTGCCAAAAAAAAACTCCACCTCCGGGTCGACGCGAAAACCCCACAACCGGGGGGATTTTGTGGGAAGTTTCCATCTTGGGGCACATCATCCGGGAACCCCTGGATTCCACCAACTTTTCCCCCTCCCTCTCTTGGGTTCGGGGTCCCACCCGCTCATTTCCCCCTTTTCCCCCCAGGGGTTTAAAGGGCGCCACC